TAATGTGTATGCATGTATTGCCTGCATGTAGGTGTCGTCCAATGCCCTAGGAGGTCAAAAGAGGCTGTAGGATCCCCTGGGACTGGAGTTACAGACAGTTGTTAGCTGCCATGTGGGTGCTGGGATTCAAACCTGGGTCTTCTGCAAGAACAGTCAGTGTTCTTAACTGCTGCACTCTCAAGCTCCAAAATTCATCACTTCTTAATAATTCAGCCATATTCTATTACTGTTTGTTCTCCATGCCTCATTTTTATCTTTTTGTGGAATGCCAGCCTGGTGAATGTTGGGCTATAAGACCTTACTTACATTCTATGTCTTTTAACTTTAATATTTTCTGTGAAGTTATCTCTGTACATTAAGGGTTTTTTAAATTTTCTTTTTTTTTTTTGGTATTTTTGAGACAGGGTCTCCCTGTAGCCCCAGCTGTCCTGGAACTCACTATGTAGACCAGGCTGGCCTTGAACTCACAAAGATCCGCCTGCCTTGCCTCCCAAGTGCTGGGATTAAAGGTGTGTGCCACCACACCCGGCTCCCATCATGTTCTTTTAAACTGTAACAACTTCAGATTTCAGTCCTCAGGCCCCTGGAAGCAGGATTGGTCCCTGACAGAGCATAGTCCGGAGCAACTTTATTTTGGTTTCAAGTTGGAATTCTTTGCCAGAACACACAGGGAAGCACTGATTTTCCCCTAGAGATCACAGGCCTAACTGCCCTATGTTTTGCTATTTGAAGTTCCTGTTTCCATCAGTAACTCCTTAATCCTGTTTTTCTCAGGCTCTTCTCTATCCTTATTTCTTCTTGTTTGTATTTCTTTGGCTTATGTTTACCCCTAACAGCATATTACCTCACCTGAGCCTATCTGTTTCTTCCAGCAGCTCACAGTATCACCACAAGCAAGCCTTCACACTCCATTGCCTCCTGGGCTCTGAGGTCCCTTCCATATCTAGGTTCACCTGATTGTTTTCTTGGAGATCCCAGAATTTCAAGAAAATGCCACCACCACTGGGCAGGGAAGTCTAGAGTCTGTAAAGATTCTTGAGACAGGGTTTGGCTACATAGTCCAGGCTGGCCTTGAACACGTGACATGTGATCCATCCGTGTCGGCCTTCGACCATACCAGGTTTTTCTAAAAATAAGGATCTATACTTAGGATATTTTACTTTATTTTGCTCATATCCATCCTTCACTGGTGTTACACCACCTGGTGATGGAATGGAGTTGGGGGTTTCTCTTTGTATTGGATTTTAATGGTGGCAGGAATCCAAAAGCTCACTGTTGTGCTAGGTTAAATATATATGCTGTAGAAGTCAGGACACAGTAGGATGAGGGAAAAACTGATGAGCACAGAAACTGCGAAGGGTCTGAGTTCAAATTTCCTAACTCTACACTTAAATATTTGGACTCAGAGCCAGAAGTGCAGTCATTCTGTTCCAAGGACCAGGGACTGCAGACATCATCCCAGAAGCTTTGGTGCTGAAGTTGGGAGTTTTGCTGTCCTTCAAGGATCTGCACAATTCAGATGAAGAGAGCCATCTGTGTCTAATCTGGTAGAATGTCATTGAATTCTCGGGTGTTGGTGGCACACGGTGTACCAGTCCTCCTGCCAAGCTCCAGTGCTCCATCAAAAAGCCCCTTTCCTGCATCAGTAGGTGACAGGGAGAAGCTGGACCTAATCTCTCATGTCTCAGAGGATAGATTGAGATCACGGTCTCTCATTTCAAAACTTAGTGCAGCAGCAATATCTGAACAGAGTTCCCTGTCTGATGAATTTGTTTTCTTAAAGGCCCAGGAGAGCCCAAGGGCACTGATGATTTATGTATGCTAATAATTTTACAGGAGACTTCTGGCACTTGCATGACTCCTGCTGAGTGCCCATCCCAGTGGCTCCCTGACTGTCTCATATACCACTGTGCCGCTGTAACAGCCCACTCTGATGCCGGCTTCTTCTGCACTTGGGAGAGGGGCAGGTGTGTGTGTGTGGGGTGGGTTAGTGCCAAACACAGTGCTGGTTTCATTAGAAAAGGAGCTCAGTCTTAGGAGGGAGTCCTCTGACTTCTCTCTCACCTGCATGGAGAGAAGGCCTCAGCCATACACAAGCTCAGAAACCAGAAGCTATAGTCTCATCAAGCCTTCCTCCCTCAGAGCTTTCCTTGGTAACACTGTCCTTCACATAAGTACAGGGTGGTTATGGGCTAAACTGTGTCCCTCTAGTGTTGAGGCCCTAACTACCAATACCTCAGAGCATAGCCTAATTTGGAAACAGGGTCTTTACAGAGGAAATCAGATTAAACTGTGGTTGTAGGTTAGGCCCTAATTCATTAGGACTGGTGTCCTTCTATAGATGGGAAGTTTGGATGCAGACACACACAGAGGGGGTGAGCTGTGAAGAGACAGGAGAAGAAAGAGAAAGCAGGGAGCCCCAGGCAGATGCTTCCCCCTCAGAGCTCAGGATCCAACTGTGTTGACACTTGACCTTGAACTTCCAGTTTCTGAGAAAAGAACTTTGTTCTTTAAGCTGCTTATTCTGTGGTACATGATAGCTTCAGCAAACAGTACCCAGGAGCCACCACAGAGAATTTGGAAAGTCCTTTTGTGTCTAATGGCTTCATACATGCATTTTTTTATGTTTAATCCTCTCCCCTCTTAGGGATTACTTTAGAAGGCCGGGAGTTCAGTGACTGTAAGCCAGGATCTGTCAAAGATGGAAAGTGAAGAAAGCCTTTTGCACC